ACCAGTACAGACTGGTACCAGACTTTGACCCGTTGGTTGGGGGCAGCTGCTCTAAATGACAGTTAATTTGAATATTAACTCAAGGGTTATTCAGACAGTGCATTCACAAAACATCCTGATTCATGCTGAATAATCCATCCATCCATCAATTATCTTTTACCCACTTCTTCCTTTTTGGGGCGCAGGGGTCACTGGTGCCCATATCCAGCGGTCACTGTGCGAGGGACGGGGGACACCATGGACAGGTCTCCAGTCCATCACAGGGACACATAGAGACAAACAAGACAAACAACCATTCTTTCTCTCACTCACACCTAGAGACAATTTAGCGTTACCAATCAGTCTAACATGCATGTTTTTGGTCTGTGGGAGGAAACTGGAGTACTGGGAGAAAACCCACGCATGCACGGAGAGAACATGCAAACTCAGGTCAAATTCAGGTCTCTCTTGTAAATGAGTCCTCGAGGCTCAATGGGATTTACCTGTCTAAATAAAGGTTGAATGAAATAAACTCGACCCAGACAGATGGGCTGGGATTTGAACCGAGGCAACCAGTTTGCTGAGAGGTGGCAGCTCTACCATCTGCACCACCGTGCTGCCATGCTCAATAATCCTGCTTGAAAAATCCAACAAAGTTAAATCAGGTTGTCTGGACGGTTTCTTTTTCATTGAAACGTTTCGTCTTCAGCAGTCCGAGGAGCCACAACAAACTCAGTCTTATAAATACACCTTCATATAGTGGGTCAACCAAAAAAAAAAAAAACATCCAGAGGACCTGATTTAACTTTGATGGATTTTTTTTACCTGGATTATTGAGCAAGGATCAGGATATTCTGAACCGCTTTGGCCATGACTGCCTCAGATGAGTTGGCGGGGGAGAGGGTGGACTCCAGAAACCATCTGAGCACCATCAAACTGGCTGACTCATGATGTGAAGGTGCTGTTTTGAGTTTGTTGTGGCTCCTTGGACTGAAGAAATCTTTTGGACGAAAGACAAAATGTTTCAACTAAAAAAGAATTTGTCCAGAGGACCTGACTTAACTTTGTTGGACATTCAGAAAACTGTTTTTGGATCTGATTCATCCAACAGTTCCAAAAATTCAACACGATTACCAGAAAAACCAGACTGCTTTCTCAAGTAGGAAATGAAAGTCTCTGAAGTTCTGAAGCTCGTTGTGCTCCTTACATCGCTCCAACCAGGTGAGATTAAAGTAACACATCTGATGCTCTACTGCAGGGAGTTTGGAGATTCTGTTGTAACATAAAATAAACTGGTAACAAAGTTGCTTTGCATTATTTGAACAACACCATGCTCAGAGATTTATTTCATTTGATGTTGTGAATAAAAAATCTCTCGTTCAAAGCATGTGCTGTTGAGTCTCAATAGATCTGAGCTCATACCTGTCGAACTAACAGAGTTAAGGTCTGTTGTTGTGTTTGCTAATGTCAGTTAGTTGTGGTGGCCATCTTGAGTCAAACTAAAAGCTCATCAGTTGTACATCCAGTAATTACTTTCTGAAAGTGTTTTTAATTTGCTAACAGTTTTAAACAGCATATTGCACAATGAACTCCAAGTATGAGTTAGTGAAGATGCTCAACCACTAGAATACTAAATTTTAGATAAACATTTGTAAAATGAGTGTTTTCTAATATCAGTTAGTGGAAAACATGAGGATGACTCTCAGCTACTACCACACCATACTTTACTACACTGCCTGGCCAAAAAAAAAAGTCGCTACCAAAAAATAAAGGTCACACAGTAATATTTGGTTGGACCGCCTTTAGCTTTGATTTTTCATTCAACCTTTATTTAGACAGGTAAATCCCATTAAGGCTTGAGGACTCATTTACAAGAGAGACCTGATTTCAACAAAGAATGATGACAACAATGGACAACAACAACAATAGACAGTTGTAAAAAAGGCATACAGGTTTTTAATTTTTTTTTTACAAATAAGATGGTAAAAAAAAGTAACAAAAAACAGCTGGATTATAAGGTGTATCAAGGGAATCAAGGTGATTACAGCATGCATTCACTGTGACATTGTTTCAAAAAGCTTCTGCAATCTCACAAGATCTATTTCCATCCAGTGTTGCATTAATTTTTCACCAAGATCTTGCATTGATGATGTCAGATTGTGACCAATTCATCCATCCATCCATTATCTTTACCCGTTTATTCCATTTTGGGTCACGGGGGTCGCTGGTGCCCATGTCCAGCAATCACTGTGCGAGGGGCGGGGTACACCCTGGACAGGTCGCAAGTCCATCACAGGGACACATAGAGACAAACGAGACAAACAAACATTCACTCTCTCACTCACACCTAAGGACAATTTAGAGTTACCAATCAGCCTAACATGCATGTTTTTGGTCTGTGGGAGGAAACCGGAGCACCCGGAGAAAACCCACGCATGCACGGAGAGAACATGCAAACTCCACCCAGAAAGGCCCCTGGACCGGGGTTTGAACCAAGGACCTTCTCGCTGAGAGGCAGCAGCTCTACCAGTTGCGCCACCGTGCTGCCCTGTGACCAATTCAATTCAGTTTATTTATATAGCACCAAATCACAACAAAGTTGTCTCAGGGCACTTTACTGAAACATTCACATACATAAAGGCTAGATAAAGTTTTCAATCTAAGGAATCCAGCAGACAAGTTGAATCTTGACTTCGTTGCAGTCTCCCATCCTGAGCAAGCACAGTGGCAACAGTGGAAAGGAAAAACTCCCTTTTAAAAGGAGGAAACCTCCAGCAGAACCAGACTCAGGACAAGCGGCCATCTGCTTTGACCAGCTGGTTGAGAGGACAGGAAGGAGAGACAGACGAACACAGAATGGTAGGTCCAGGTATAGGTCCAGGTGTATCTGGACCATCTGCACAAAGCCTTCTCCAACACATCCCAAAGATTCTCAGTGGGGTTAAGGTCTGGACTCTGTGGGGGCCAGTCCATGTGTGAAAATAATCTCAAGCTCCCAGAACCACTCTTTCACAAGTCAAGCCCGATGAATCCTGGCATTGTCATCTTGGAATATGCCTGTGCCATCAGGGAACAAAAAAATCCACTGATGGAATAACCTGGTCCTTCAGTATATTCAGGTAGTCAGCTGACCTCATTCTTTGAGCTCATACTGTTGCTGAACCTGGACCGGACCAACTGCATCAACCCCAGATCATAGACTGCTCTACAGGCTTGTACAGTAGGTATGATGGGAGCACCACTTCACTTGCCTCTCTTCTTACCCTGATGTGACCATCACTCTGGAACAGGGTAAATCTGAACTCATCAGACCACATGACCTTCTTCCATTGCTCCAGAGTCCAATTTTATGCTCCCTAGAAAATTGAAGCCTTTTTTTTTCCAGTTAGCCTCACTGGTTAGTGGTTTTCTTAAGGCTACACAGCTGTTCAGTCCCAGTCCCTTGAGTTTCCTTCACATTGTGCGTGTGTGTGGAAATGTTCTTATTAAACATAGTCCTGAGTGCTACTGTTGTTTTTCTTCCATTTGATTTCATCAAATGTTTAAGTGATCGACGATCATTCAGGATTTTTTCCAGCCACATTTCTTCCTCGAAGACGATGGGTCCCCACTTTCCTTCCAGTTTTTAATAATGCGTTGGGCAGTTCTGAACCCAGTTTTAGTAGTTTCTACAATCTCCTTAGATGTTTTCTCTGCTTGATGCCAATGATTTGACCCTTCTCAAACAGACTGACATCTTTTCCACGACCATGTGACGTGTCTTTCAACACGGTTGTTTAAGAAATGAGAAGCAACTCATTGCACCAGTTGGGGTTAAATAACTTGTTGCAACTGAAAAATAATCGTCCGTGCAGTAATTATCCAACAGGAGGCTCGTACCCATTTACTTAGTTAAATACAGGTGGCGGATTTTTTTGTTGTTGTTGACCAGACAGTGTCTTCATGTAAAACTGGCCGACCTGTGACCACATTCATTCAACCTTTATTTATACATTATACATTAAGTTAACTTGTCTTGGGCGGCCATCTTGAATTGGGCTGACTCCAAACATTACCTGCAGATGTTCATCCACTTGTTATTTTTATAGTTTCTCTTTTTTAAAATCTTTATTGATAATAAAAGAGCTGACAAAACAGCAAAATCAATATAATCATTGTAGAGCAAAATAAACAAGACAATAATGCCAGGGGGTTATACAGCGAGCACAGATAGCTCAAAATGTGTGTGTGTGTACTTTGTATGTATATATATATATATATGCATTTAAAAAATGTTAAGTCACAAAAATGTTAAAGTGAGTATACATGAGTTGTTTTAATGGCTTTATTGTTTGATATTGGTGTTTTAATATATTGTTTGAGTTCTTCTCTAAAGATTGAGAAACAAGGTTTGATTTGAGAATTTAGACATATGAAATTTTGTAACTAATAAAATTAGGCTGATAATATAATAATGATTTATTTTGTTAGTGGGATAAGAGAATAATTCAAACAACACATCTACAAGGGAAAAATCATCAAGAATATTTTGGGAAATAAATGTGTAAATATCTTGCCATAGGATACATAAGAAATGACCTGACCAGAATAAATGACAGCTTCTTCATGTCTGTGTTCTTTTTAATCGTTGAAGGAAAAACTCGCGGGGACAAAATCCATGGATCATCTTAACATAAACTTCTTTGATCTCATTAATAATCAGTATTTTTAGAGTTTCATTAAAATACATCCGGTGGCTCGTGACGTAGACGCGCAGTCACGGGCAAAAACGTGATCGCCCGCACTGAAGCGGCGCTTCCGGTTGTCCAAATAAGTGCGTGAGGCTGACTGTACGCAGCGTGCACGTCACTCCCATCAGCTCGGAGAACAACAACAACACACGCACGGAGCAGGGTGTATGTGCTTCAGGGATGCTGCTCAGAGGATGATGAGCCGGGACCAGATCCATTACGTCACCCTGTTAATCCAGCAGCTCCGGGCCGAGGAGGGGGTCCGACTCCTCAGCATCTCCGCCTGCTCCTTTGTCTCCTCCGGCGGATGGTGAGGGATGGCGGAGGTAGACCTCCCGTCCAGCGGAGCGGAGCCGCCCGGCGGGGCCTCCTCCTCCTCCTCCTCCTCCTCGGCCTTCCCCTACGAGGAGTTCGAGTGTAAAATCTGCTACAACTACTTCGACCTTGACCGGCGCGCGCCCAAGATCCTGGAGTGTCTGCACACGTTCTGCGAGGAGTGCCTGACCACGCTGCACCTCCGGGAGGAGCGGCCGTGGCGCATCAGCTGCCCGCTCTGCCGCCACCGGACCCCGGTGCCGGACTACCGCGTCCAGAACCTGCCCAACAACACCAAGGTGACGGAGGACTTCCCGCTCTACATCGACTCGGACCCGCTGCCGCAGGACGCGCTGCCGCCGCACCCCCCGCCGCTGCACCCGGCGCTGGTGGCGCTCCGCCGGGAGGAGGCGTCCAGCGGCGGCGGCCAGGCCACCCCCTCCACCACCGTGTCCACGGCCACGACCCTCTCCCAGGACTCCGTGCGCTACGACACCTGCCAGAGCTGCAAGAGGGTGGCGCTGACCACCGGCTGCGTGTGCGTCATTTTCTCCTTCCTGTCCATGCTCGTGCTGCTCTTCATGGGCCTGATCTTCGTGCACAGCCACAGCATCCCCCCCTCCCCGGCCGGACCCATCTGCCTGTCAGTGGCCAGCATCCTGGCCATGTTCTCCGTGGTCGTCACGTGGCTCATCTGCTGGCTCAAGTACAGACCCGAGCACGACGCGGGCCGCGCGTCCGCCACCAGTAACTCCCGGAGAAACGCCTGACGGCTTAGACTGGTGGAGGGGATGATGTAGATAACAGCCCAGAGGTGACCCCCCCCCCCCCCCCCCCCCACCCACGCACAGCCCCAGCAGCCCCCCGCCCCCAGACGGGGGGCGCGGCATTGGTTGCTTT